TGACCGACCTGCCGGCCGGCCGGCCGGCCGGCCGGCCTGCGCGGCTGCGTGTCTGCTCGGTCATTTCCCACACCCCCGCTTCCTCCGACCCGCTCCTTTTCTTTTTGCGCTGTTTTTTCCACGGGCCTTCCCGGGCTGATTGTTCGGCGGGAATTTCTCGCTGCTTTCCGTGGGTTCTGTTCTGGAAGCCGCATGCTATTTTTTTCTGTTCAGTTTCTTAAGGAGATAGTACACTAACTTCCGAGAAATACTCATAAGAAATAATTTAAAAAAAAAACCTGAAAAAACTGAAAAAAACATGAAACCTCCTTTTTTCAGTTCATATACACTAAAGTGAAATGTCATTAACTTTATGTCGAAATTTGGTAATGCATTTATCTGATTAGGTGTTTTCGATGACTAGTGTCTACCATCTTTGGTAGAATTCGGTCTTAGCCGGCATATATAACTAAGTTATCAAAAGTCAACGACCACATCAACTTAAATCATTTAATTCACCACCAACTATTCGTAACCAACCGAGCAATTTTCATGTCGCATACTAAGAAACACGTTTCTTTTTCGAAAGCGCCGGATGCTCTCCAATTATTGAAGCACGAGCGACTTCCTTCGAGTGATACTCGGTGTGTTTCCCGTGTCACACGCCGAAGTTGAACAACCAGACTCGCCTGTCCCGGCCGGCGCGAAATGTTTTCGTTTTGGCGTTTTCGAAAACGTTGGTGGCGCCGTAGCTTGAAAGAAGCACGCGTGCGGTGTCAGGGCGTTCCCAGGGAGCGGCGCCTCTGCGGACATAGCGCGCGCGCGAGCGGGCGGGAGATTCCGCGAAGTGCCGTCCGGCGGCGCTGCTGTCTGCGCACGAGAACGCGAGTTTCCCACCTCGCGGGGCATTGTGTTATAATATGCCCTGCGACTCTTAAATCGCTAGTAGAGTAGCAGTGGCAGCGTGAGTTACCAAGAGTGGGAACAATAACATTCTTGCTGAGAATTAATTTAAAAGTTGCGGTTTAAAAATTAAATTAAAATGTGTGTTTGTTTGCGGTGTTCCGGCGGCGTGAGATATTTTGATGTAAAGAGTTTGTTGCTGTAAGATACTTCGTAAACGCAAACGTGCAATTTTGAAATTTCCTCGTAAATGTTTCTTCTTTTGCATTAAAGTATTTAAAAATATTTACTTTCACTGCCTGTAGAGCTAGCTTTCACTTGTCCATACATTTAAAAAAAATATAGTTTTTATTTTGAATTATTTCGCCTAGTGAAGGCAAATGTACTGATTATTATACACTCGATTAGTAACTAAAAGCCCTAAAATGTTAATTGAAGGAAAATTGTTCACACAAATCAACTGAGAAAATTAAAAGAAATTTTAAGTCTGTTGTGGTATTTTTTTCCGCGAAGTGAAGCGGTCAATGGAAGTTAAAATTTTCACACACAAATATAAAAACGTGGTAGGAAAATAATATAGTTTTGGTAACAATAGTAGTTTATGTATTGTCATGAATATCTAAGGACAATCCAAGTAATCGATCACATTCATATGACAGGCCTCCATTTCCCTTATTCTCCACAGGTCAGTCACAGCTTCACCCTCTTGGTTTTCCGCCGTATCTCGCCGCCTCTTTATTTTCCCTGGATACGCCCCGCCCTTCCCGCTCCGCTCCACGCCCCGCCGCCGCGGGGAGGCCGGAGCTTGTTACCTGCGCCCCGTGCTTCCGCGCGAGGGAAGAAAAGTAATATTATTTCTCCGCAACGCAATTGCTGTGGGCAGGAAGCCCTTAGCGCTCGCTCGCTCGCTCGCTCGCTCGCTAATTCCCCCTCCGGCGGCGCTCTTCAAATGGCAGAGTGCGCCCACAGCGCGCCCCTCTGCGTCGCATTATGAGTGCGGTGCTTTCAGGAAGGAATATGTTTACGTCTCTTGTACACGTGTACAGGTTTTAAACCCATGGACTCCAAACGTTTCGTGATTTTAATTTGACCATATGTCATTTGAAATAAGTTTTTAACTGTACATGGTTTTTACACTCCTGGTCTCTGTTGTAGAGTTGAGAAA